CTTAACCAGCAATAGGATCAACCTCTATTTCCTTATCTTTTCATCTCTCGAAAATAGCGTGGTTGAAAAGGAGTAGAAACATAGTTACAATACTTCTTCCATTTAATCGCATTATGCATAACAACTGTTCTTATACTGCTCAACCGCCGGTATTCCTACAGGTTGAGTATCCCTGAAGCAAAATATTCCAAAATCAGTGACATTGCATCAACTCGCTTTTCGCTCATGAGTTTTGTGAAGTATCTTTAGATAATTTGAATAACGGCCATAACTTTTTTCGTCCCTCTTTACCTCAACATTCCATCGACAGTCTTATTTTCTGATACCGGCCAATATGAAAAGTTTCTCTCCATCCGGAGTGAGGGCTGGATGGTCAAACGTTGTCAGAAGTTATCTACATCCCTTTCGTGAGCAATACTTGATCAGTGCTCATTTTGACTGTAGGGTCGAAAGGGAGAACACGTCGAACACTCAATTTTCATGCTTGCATTTTATCATAGAAACAACTCATTAACTCTTAAATTCACCCTTTTTTCCCTTCCTCATCACCCTTCCCTTCCAACCTATATAACTGTTTGAAAATGCCTTTCTGGACCCGCTGTACTGTAACGAAACCTGGGTTGTTTCAGTTAGTGGAATAACTGACTTTATTTTCTTTGTGATTTGTAAGGAGCTGCTACACCGCATTCTGGAACAGGCGTCACTCACTCCTATAGCAGGTAGCCTTTTGGGATTAGAACTCACTCTTTTGGATCATGAATATTTTTATTCAAAGGAAGCAGATTCATTATTTTATGTTATGGCGAAAAACATGGTGAGAAAACGTGCTAAATTTTTTTAATGGCTTATATTTTCGAATTTTGTGACACGTAATGAGATTTTTCATTGATTCCCTGATTTTTTTTCAATTCTGTTCAACTCCACCAGACATTATATCTCAAAACCCAAGATCCAAAACAGTTTTGATCCCAACCATTTTGGATTAGGAGCACTCAACTTGTACTTCGTTGGAATCATTGTTCCCACGCCGTGCAGCAAGCGTCGCCTGACAGAAGCAAGGCGAGGGCTGATTTCTGTGAAAGGGAATATTATATTTTCATCCGAGCAAGTCATTGTGCCGAAAACGCTGCAAACAAGAGCAGTTCTCCAGTTTAGGTCTGACTCAATGGTGCCGTTGTTGTACATCATACAGCTGAGATATTTAAATTGGTCAACCTCCTCTACCGTTTCACACCGTGTTCTTTTGTAGTTCAGCCATGCAGGGTTCGTTCCTCATAGCTTCTAACTTCGGGGAAGTGAGGAATTGGCCGACTTTTGCAGCTGTGCATCCGGAAGCCGTCAAGTGATGCAGCCAATTTCCCTTACTGCTCAGTAGGCAGCAGTATTGAGCCGCCTCATTATCGTGAACGGAACCTCACTTCGAGATTAAGAGCTGTTTTTCAACAGGACGTAGGTGAATTGTTTATGAAACATTCCATTTTTAGGTCTACATGAATACATAATCGAAATGACGAATGCTCACACGTCTAACAACGCAAATCAATAAATATCATATATTAGCACCATCGTTCTCAACTCGACGTTTATTCTTTCGTAAGTCATAAGCTTTCACCAGCTTCTCTGTTGCAACACGATCTATACTAATGGTTATGCATTGGCGTCGTTACCATTTTGCCTATTCCGTATATCTGAAGATCAGAATAATTCGTGTAATGTTCGCAACTGAGAGCACAGAACGGATTCTTTTTTCCATAAAACGGCATTGTTGTGTACGGTCTTAAAACGCTGGACTGATCACTGACGAGGTTGCTGGCTTCTGCTGAAGCAGACTGTGCCGCTTTCTGCAAGAATACCTGGTTCTCGGCACTGGCAAAGAGTGCCTGATTCGCAACAGCGATGGAACTTCGCGATTCGTCATCCCGCTGTTGCTTGTATCCGCTGTGTACCACGGACAGGAACGTCCTCTCGGCCACTCTGCTGGTAGCCAACGTTGCCTGCAGGTCATGAATGTACTCTATCGCTGATCTCAAGATTTTCAGCTTCGATACCCGCCTCTTCTTTTGCTTCAAACTCGGCAGGTGGCGTTTCAGGTGAGTGAACGCCTCGTTGACGGTGTGCACTCGGCGGCGCTCCCTCGCGTTGCGGTGTTCCACTACTACCGAGCGTTTCTCTTCTTCCTCTCCGGACAGAGGCGCAAGATGGCTGTAGTTGAGGGTCGATGAGGATAGTTGCTGTGCGTCGTTGGCCTGATTGACGGTTCTGAAGTTTTTCTCTGGTGGAGAAACGTTCACAAGAGCTATGTGACCAAAACACCGGCTGTTGTCCATTTTCCGAACTTCAAGCGTACTCTAACCGTCATCTAAACAAGATAAATCAACAAGTAGCACCAAATTTGACATAACATTTCAGATTCATTATTTGCGATGGAACTTCGTTTATGCAACAAATACCCCTACTCAAACTTAGGGTTTCACTAACTTGGTAAGAAAGTTTGGAATCACATAATTAGTGGTTAAGTTCCAGCTCTAAAATTTGAAGTTATGAACATCCTGATTAAAATCTGGTACTAATCAACCACTCGTTTTGGATCAAGATATGTCTGACTACATAAGGAGGATATAGCACGTTCAAGCATTAATCATTCAACGTGATTTGTTCAACTGTTTCTAAACTTCTAAACATTATCATGTAGTTGTTGCAACGTGACGGCATACATTCTAATTTCTTTTGTAACCTTGAGTTCATTCAAAAAACTTGATTTAGATAAGGAAACCAAACCTTTTGCATGGTCTTATGTAAAGTACTGTAAGGGGCAGCCAGAAAATCGATGTAGCCAAGCAATTGGTTTATTCTTTAAAAATTATCTTAGCTAGGAAAGCGTCATCCAAGATCCGTCCCACGTTCGATGCATAGCCGTAGCGAACATCATGCTGCAATGAAAAGAAGACTAATTCGTCTGCGTTCAGTACAACAGTACAAAATGATGTTCATGTTTGGCGGTGGTTTCTTTGAAGCAGAAAGGGCGGATGGTTCGTAATTTGTTGACGAGAGAAGAGACTCTTATTCTGGACCATCTTGCGAGAACTTACAGACAATTTATTTTCCAAACGCGAGACCTGTGATCGTTGACTCTGCCCAAAATGTGGAGCGCTACTTCAGAAAATTTCAGCTTCTCAAGAGACTGTGGGATGTCGGTGATCCCTGAGCCAGTCTGCCTTAAGAAATTATCCCTCGGTTGGCAAATAAGGTACCTGAGTGTCGTAAGTATGTCAATAAAATTTCACCTGTTGAATCATGCAGCTTAATTTTGCACTATTATCCTCAAGATGCCGATGATAAGCGGCTTTGAAAAGCATGCGTAAATAAAGGATTTTTCGTTAACTTAAATGTTTCTCTGATCCATGGATCAGGAAGCGGAAAAAACTAATCGCTCTTCAAACAGGCAAATAGATCAACACCTGTTTCCACATGAGTACGTTCAACGGTTGCAGTGCTTTGGATGTCATCGTCTTAAGCAGAAGCAATAGAACAGAAATCATCATTCTCGTTACCATTAAATTTTATGATTCTTAATTCATAATTTCCACTAAAACAATCTGACTAAGCTTACTGTATCCTGATAGTAGAGTTTTGCAACCGTTGAAGCATTAGATTCACAACCTCCAGATTATAGATGTTTCTCGGCACTCTCACCGTCGCCTTGTTTCTTTCGCAGTACGCTTCAAGAAGTCGTTGAAATCAAACGATACACAGTCTAACTTGTAGTCAAAGACAGCGGGAGTTCAATACCTAGTATAACGAAAAGGGTGCTCAATTCGAAGGAAGATACATGAATACTATTAAACAGGTAAAACGTAGTTATTAACTATAATCTGTATGGATAAAAAACCGCAGGCGTTGCTTTCAAAATGCATGGCACTTTTGGCTAATAGCCTCGCGACTGCGATCAGTGCTCCATCATAAGTTACATGGAAAAAAGGGCATGCATTACGTGTCATAGGAAGCGAATTTTAAACGGATAAAAATGTTCCACTCTTTATGAGTGTTTGTTAAAGTTGTTTCGTTCATATATGCAAAGTGTACCTTTAACGAAACCTGATCATGGAAATTATATGTCAATGTACCCCAGCGTGGGCACATGTTTTGCAGTTCATGTGGGTAGCTTAAGGAGTACCAGCTTGAAACACCGTTCGTAATGCTCACACGGTTACATAGCGAACAGTGTGATACAAAAAGCATTCAGCATTATAGAAGTTAAAATACTGTGAAGACTTGGTTTAATCAAATGCCCCCCCCCC